ATGTTACTTTTCATAGGCACAGACATTGTGAGTTTTTTTACAATCTGTGCCATGTCTATTCTCATGGGCCAGACCTAAGTCATCTCTGTTAAAATTCTACAGCTCTGAATAACTTTGTTGTGTGTCATCTCTAACCTGTCAGAATAATAAACTTAATGCCTCAATTGCTAGCCAACTGCTTTACTTCTACTCCAACTTTCATCAATATTCCAGTTCCTCTTGAGGAACTGGAATAAAAGTTCAAAATATTTTTGCAATCTTTTGGAAATGTACTGCAAATTCTTCAAGGGAAATGTATAAACTCTTGTCTTGATTCATCCAATATATAATGTGCACAAGTATCAATGAATTTGATCCAAACCAGGTTCCACAGCAAAGTGTGGGGAAGAATTTGAGTTATGCATCTGGAACATGGAGTGTTACAGTTTCTGGGCTGCAAGTAGAACTCTTGTCTTGATTCATCCAATATATAATGTGCACAAGCATCAATGAATTTGATCCACACCAGGTTCCACAGCAAAGTGTGGGAAAGAATTTGAGTTATGCATCTGGAACATGGAGTGTTACAGGTTCTCTGCTGCAAATGCAGCAAAAATATTGAGGCTGGTAGTGCAGCAGAATTTTGCGGATAATATGCATTTGAAATCCTGATGAATTGACCCAATTTCATTCTTGGTCAATTCAGCAGAAAAGAATAAGTTGGGTAGCTTTGGGGGTAGCTGGCCCCCATTTTTGAAAAGTGTCAGCTTAAGCCTTTTGTGTGGTTTTCTTCCTGGTTGACCCTCTGTACATTGCACTGTACTCCTGGGGTCCCAGTGAATGTTAAAGTCGTAAATGATGGACTATTCCTTTTTTTTTCTCACTCCTTCCTGAGGTGGGCATGTCAAAGATTCTCTGAAATCCAGGAATTGTTTGTTGCCCTCGGTTTTTTTTTTGCCACACAGGGGATTCATGGACTCTTATTGGCAGTTTTGTAAAAAGAAACACTGTTTCTGGTGCCCAGGCACCATGAAACAGTGTCTCTTTGTTCAATGAATGGGGGAGGATGCTGCATCAAATTAAAGTGGCTCTCCTCCCCCACCAAAAAAAATGCCTGTAGTAAAAAAAATGTCCCTCCTTGTGTATGAAAAATTCGACTTAGGGAGGTTTCCCATGAAATTTTTCGAGTTAGGGAGGTTTTTTAAACATTATGTCCTAAGGGATTGGAAGGGGACTGGGGAAAAATTCGACTTAGGGGGGTTTTCGACTTAGGGAGGTTTGACTTATAGAGGTTGGACTGTAAAAGAGAAAGTACAGTAATATGGTTCTGCATATGTTAAGGCCCCTCAAGAGTGGGTTTTAGGGCTTTTTTAATGGTATGGGTTCTCTACTGTTCAAGGCTATTCCTAAAATCTTGTGACACACATTTAGAGGTATTTATAGTTGCTTTACTGAGCCTGAAAATGTTTTCAAATTACCTTCCAAACAAAGCTGACTGTCCCAAGAAAATATTTACAGGGGAATTTCTAATAAATGGCTTTCAAGATCCAATTACTGTATCTTGCAATATTTTTTTTAAATAACTGTTGGTGCTTCAGTAAAGATAATCAAGTTTCAGAGATGGTTGAAAAAAATCAATAATCCAGGATTAAAACATGTGTCTTGTAATTATTACTGAATGTCTGTCCATCTCAAAAGTATACAATTTTAAACATACCTTGCACTTTTTTTTAAAGTGGGGTAAAGAGTGGTACAATATTTTGTTTTGATTTTAACTCATGTGATCATGTTCATTCTGACTTGTGTTTTCGTTTTTATTAACAAACCATTGAACTTGATTTTGAAAGAATTTTTGAAGGAAATACTGTAATGAAAAAGTTAATGTGATGGAAGCAGAGTTTTAAAACTTAAAGTTGTATAGCCACATTCTTTTCTTTGATTGACTTGGTCTTTTAGAATGCAGCTACTGTGTATATGACCAGATCCTGAAATACAAGAAGTAATGAAAGTGACTACAGTACAATACTTCAAAATAATGTTTATTTGTGGAAAAAAGTTTAGTTTCACAACAACAAAAATAAGTAGGCCCTCAAAGAAGAGTTCAAGTTTGGTCATCTAAATTCTGTTACAGCATCAGTTGCACATAATCTTGCCCACACTTTTCTCTGTGTCAAAATATGTACATCTTTTTACTCAAGATACTTGTTCACCATCAGGATCAGTGATCACAATCATCACCATGTCATTTGTTGTGGGACAATCATCATCACACTCACCATTTTCACTAGTTGATGGGTAAAGGTAATGGAAAAGCATGAAGAAGAAGAAGTAAGTCTCCACTAATGCTGCAGCAAAGAATATGATGCTGGCAAGTCTTTGTTTCTTTGCCTTTTTCTTATTGTTTTCCTTGCTTATTTCAGGTCCTGAATCACAAGGTAGTTTCACAGGAATGACATCAGGATCACTTTGAGCAATCATCACATTTCCTGTCTTATTCATGATGCTATGATCCAGTTGCACAGCACTGCTGGTGTCTTTCCATTTTGAAAAGATGAGGATGCCACAAGTTGTGACTGCCAAAATCTTCAGAACTTGGACAAGGAACCAAGTTTTAACCAAGGTTCTATTGGTGCCATCATTGCCCTGAAGGAAGAGTGGTGGTGGTCAAATATATTAAAAAATAATAATTACAGTCAAACCCTGTCTAACGGACTTGATTCGTGCAAGGGATGAGTCTGTTAGACAAAAAGTCCTTTACACGAATTCAATTACATAAGAAATTAAAAATTTCAATTTTCAACACTAATTTTAAACCAAAAGAAGTCTGTTGGGCGGATTTTGTCTGTTGGGCGGGAGGAAAAACTGCTTGCAGAGCTGGTCTGTTTGGCAAAAATCCCTTACACGGGAGGTCTGTTAGGCGGGGGGCCACTGTACTATGAAGATAAAATGCTAAAAGAATTGAGGCAAAAAAAACTGTACCTTTGCTTCAGTGCATACCAATGTCAGAGAGCTCAAAAGGTACATGAAATGGAGCCACACGTATCCTTCCTTCAAAGTTTCTGGAATTCCTATGATCATAAAAGTTTTAATTCTAAAAATAAAAACCCAAGTTATCATAAAATGGGAAAACTTGCCTTTCTCTGCAGGGATTCCGCCCAGTCTCCCCAATTGCAGCAAAGTTGTAAGTGCCATGATCTAAAAAAATAACATGAACATGACAAGTATAGGTGATCAACGGCAACAGGAGAAATACTGTACACCATCAAATTCGCATATCTCGCATACATTGTTATTTTGCATACCACGGAAAAAGAGGTCATGATATATGTCCCAGTTGACAGGGAACAGCATATGAAATTCTTGACGGAAGTCATCGTTCACTAGAGAAACACCAACTATCAATTCTACACGCCGTTCAAGAACAGTCCAAAGTGCGAAGTGCATCGTTGCAACAGGACCCAGCTATCATCTACTCTTATCTCTCAGCAAGCGCTCCACCCGTCGCGAGGAAATCGCGAACGTTCTTAGAAGATTCTGACTTAACGCGCTAGGTGTCGCTCACTTCATATACTTTCCAATTTTCATTTTTGACCTATTTTAGTACCTCAATATTTCATTATGTGAAAATTCAATGTATTTAAATGATAGGTAATCGATGAAAAAAAGTAAAATTTGTATTAAAAAGAGCATTTCAGGAATATTCATGCCAATATTATACTATGAAGTATTTTTTGGAAAAAATGTGGTTGACAATGGTAGATTCGATGAGTTGACGGTTTACCATTATGAATCCAGCACAAGCGTAGTCAGTCAGATGTGCTGCAAACCGTGTGATGCAGGGGAGTATTCCTTGGTCAGATGATGGGCACTTCGCGTTTCAGCATTGGTTGGATATCAGGACATGGCCGGTTTCAGCGGATACATATGTTAGCGATGAATCGATTGGTTATCGCATAGCCAAAGAATGCAAATTCCGCATAGACAATTCTAAATGCGAACGGCTCACCCTTTCAATGCAATTAAGAACATATCTAGCTCCTTCGTGGTTAGGACGTGCCCTTCTCACACTGGTTATACTGTATTTGTGAATCGATATGGGGAATAGGTGAAAACTGTTCATGACATTGCTAGCATAATTGGTCGAGACACTACGATTGAATCAGACAGCGGGATAATAGACAGCGACATCTGTACCAGGTGCAATTCGGAGTAAATTCTCATGTGCATATTCCCGGATGCGTTCATAAAGGTGAGGTGCATCAATCAACCTCTACTCCTGTATTGGTGGTGGTTATCTTACAACGCAATTTTACTGAACACCTTATATCTGCAGTTCAATGTACTGTATGTGCATAGTACCTCGTTGCACTTTTAAAGCTATGTTGTACCTCATTCAAGAATCTGCTTGAGCTGATTCACAAAATTGTACACTAATTGTATCCACAACACTGGCTGAAGAAGGTCAATAGTACACCCTAAACAATTTACCTTGGAAAATCCTTGAGGTCAGTGGTCAAGGGTTGAAAAACCATGTCATGTTCTGGAGCTTTCAAGCATTAAGCCTTATCAAGCATTTGGAAACAAATATTGCCCCAAATTCCTGCATGAAATTCGTTCTCACAACTGACGATTCAAGCTCAATGAAGCTGTTCGTTTTTGACCAGAGATGATTACATATAGATTCAATTCAGGAAGCAAATGATGTTTACACAATGAAACTACTGCAGTGTGAAGAAAATCTTGAGATGGCCATTAACCAACAGAAGCTTTCCCAACATAGTATGCAGTGAAATACTGTTAGAAGAAAGACCTGAGAAGAATATTTTTTTTTTTACAAAATTTCCACTCTGGTGAACTTTGAGTAATATAGTGGGTATAATGAAGAGACCTCATGAATAAACGAATGAATCCTACCTTGAATAAAATATAATTTGTACTGTAGTTAAAAAAAAAGATTTCGCTGCATAAGCAGCACCACACATCAATCTTATACTGTATATCTTTTGTTAAAACAGCATAAATGTCAGAGAAAAAAGCATTGCTGCATTTTCCCGAAACGAGGTATTCGCAAGATGCGAATGTTTACAATCTACACTTTTAAATTGCACACAACAGTGATCTACAGAATCAGCACGCGCAAAGAACGGGTCACTTCATCATCATCTTTTCACTTTTCGTGATCAAATTCGCCGGGCTTCTTGCGCAGGTTCTTCTCGTACTCGGCCTCTCCCCACGTGTACACCATGTAGCCAATCGCAAATGCTGTAAAAAAGAAATAAAACAATTGAATGAAAAATATCATTTCAAGTGGATATTTACAAAATACATGGTCGACCAAGAAAAAAAAAAGTACAGTGAGACCCCAATATGTGGACATACGGACAATTTGACTTTTGGACACTTGAAAATCAGAAAAATCAGGCCCAAGATCCAGCAGACATTGGCTTGAGTTAGAGACACTTTTTCTGAAATTTTCCCAAAAAAAAATAAAAACCTTTTCTTATTTATTGTTCATACCTTTCAAACAAATCAAGCTACTTATCCTGTATTTAAAAAAAATTGAAAAATATTTAATGAAAAATTCACTCTTAATTCATAATCAAAGCAAGCTGATTTTGTGCTTCAGAAATTTCTATCATCTGTGATTCTGTGCATATATATCCTAGCAAGACTTGATATTTTTCTTTGCTTTTTGATCTCCTTTTGACACCAAAAGATCAGATTCCATGTTGTTTTTTTTTGCTCTGCACTGTTGTTTTGTACAACTTGAAGTTGAGGGAAACAATTTTCATTAAATTGTTTGAGGACTTATTTCAATTTGTTTTACAAAAACAAAGAGAACCAACTAAATTCCTGTATTTACTCAAGTACCATGTGCCCTTTATTTAGTATAAGGCGCGCACAGGGGTTTTTCAGTTGGAAATTTGGCTAAAATCTTAGCCCCGATTAAGACACTCACCCCAATTTTTAGTGAATCAAAAACCACAAAATTTTGAAAATAAACACAAAAAATTGACTTTATAGACATGAATTGAACAAAAATCTTATCAATTTTCAACTTTTTCAGGACAAAAAAGTTTTCTTGTTAGGTTTTTTCCAAATTTCTCCCTTATAATCAAGTATAATGCTCACATAACTTCCTAAAACTTCTTGAGAAAATTTGTACTTGCTTATGACGCGCACCCCTTTTTTTCTTCTGAAATTTGAGAAAAAAGGTGCACTTGGTACTCGAGTAAATATGGTAATTAGCATTGAAATCTAAGGGAAAATTAGACTCAACTTGGGGACACTCTTGATGCACAAATTACGTCCGAATCTGGTGCTCCCTTCTGATTTGGCAGAGTTGATTAATTGTCTCCCATTCCTCGTTTTAAAATCGAGTCAACAAAAAAGAAGAGGAAGAAGAAGAAGAACCCGGCACTCACGGGGAACAACAAAGAAAATCTCCTCCTTCATCCGACGAATGAGGTTCGGCAGGCCGTGAGACAAAACCCCAGCCAGTGGCTTCTGCTCAAAGGGCGACAGTCTGTAGGACACGATCCCGCGCACTTTCACGCCCAAGTTTCCGAAATGCAAACCCATTCTTGCCTCTTTTGCGGATTCTTTTTTTT